AAGCCAAGCAAGGACTGAGTCTCCCCAGACCTGGAGCAGGTCTTTTTCTGTTCCAGTGAGCCACACAAACTTTGTGTTAAGCATTGTCCCTTTTAGGTCCTCTTTTGAAATAAAAAATGATAGTCACTCTGCTATTGACTCTTCCTGAAGCCTTCCTTTATTAACAAAAGGACTTGGGTGACTATAACTTATAGAGCAGGGTACAGGGCACACTGAACTTACTCTGTTTTACAGACTTACTCAGGGCCAAGCTGACTCACCAATTGCTTAGATGCCCACCATCGCTTTCTAAGAAGACAGTGAGCAGTGCGGTGGGTCATTTCATAGTGTCAGAACTAGGGACCCTTTACGACATGTCTTATTAAATCTCACTTAAAAAAATATAAAAGTTTAATTAGTTTGTAAGTTCTTTATCCTTTATCTTTAAGCCCTTTATTTTTAGTTTTTGTTGAAAATAAGGGTGCAGTAAAGTCTTACTTTGAATATTTCCAATCAAGTAACTGGGGTAAATTAAAAATTCCCAAAGTTACCAAGTTCACACCCAAACTCAGTACTCTTGAGACTTTCTAATAGATCTACTATCCATAAGTCAGACATTAATGATAAAGTCTCAGGTTGAAGAGAAATTTTCTTAATCACCAAAGGAGTTTTTTTTTTTCAACACCAGCCCTCAAAATAGATAGTTTAAAAGTGCGATTAAAAAAATGCTTGTGATCAGATATTAGCTCACGTTTTTCTTTTCAGCTTAACCTCTCGCTCTACCACCTCCCCTCATTCCTGTTTGCTTTCTCTTTAGATCTGTGGTGCTCGATCTTTTCTTTTTTTCCATCCCAGCCCACAGGAGAGATTTTTTTGTTTTTATAATAACAATGACTCGTTACCTCACCGATTCTCAACAATGAAACATCTTTCTTCATTTTCACAGAATTCTCATTTAATTCTAGCCTAAATATAATTAAATAATTTTTTGCTACTGTACGTTCAGAGCCTTTAATATGTCAAAATGCACTCTCAATGTTCCTTTAGGGAATATACAATATCTGTTGCTTCCCAAGCTTAAATGACAAAACTTTACCCCCCGTATCCCCCCCAAACTTGCTCCCTCCATTGCCACTCCAGCTACAGTCTGGAGGATTCCTCTGGGATATAATTCTGACATGTGGAAAAGTCTTTAAAACAAAGGTTGAGAAGTTACACAGTGTGAATGTTTGTTTATTCAACAGTATTATTTAAAATGTGGAAATGCAAGAACATAGTAGACCAATTGGCTGACAATGAATGAAGCAAGCACCAAATTTTGTAAGGCAGATCCCACGCTCACTGTCTCTTTTGAAGCTCCTCACTAGCCAGAGGAATATTATCCAAAAATCACTCAATTCAAATTACTGATGTCCTGAAAACATTGCAAATATCTCCACTTTGGCGTATCCCTACAATAAACATCCTTCAGCGTTCTTTCTGTGATTTGGAGTGTACATGGGGCCAACTAGATTTTAAATCATAGGCTATATTTATCCACTATCAACAAAATAGGGAAATGGAGCTGAACCTACTCTTTTCCTTCCCTCCCTATAATTTCCTCTGTTTCTAATTTTGTGGCAATCAAGTTTCAACTAGTTAATCAAATGTCTTTTGTGTGACAGGTGCCAGGGTGTTTGTTTTCATTAGTGTACCAACTGCCATATTTAGGAACTTGGACTTTTGGTTAACTGGATACAAGCATGGGTTTAAACCATTAAATGTGTGTATTTAAACTCAGCATTTATTTTTACATCTCCCTATCCAAATAATCAGGATGTGGTTATCTGTAAGATGATACATTACGACTTTTTTTCCTATATACACCCAAGCACAAAAATATATACCTCAAACATAATCATCAATATTATAAATGCCCATCATCCTGTGCCATTTATAATATTGCAGAGATGAAGAGAAACCTGGTTTGTAAAATGTACATAAAAATAGTTAAAGGAAATCCGCATGGAAAGGCTTATAAAATTGGGCCATTTCACACTTTGTAACCTGTTTTTAACATGATAAAAAATGAGGAAGAAAAACATCACAACTGTAGTTTATCTTTGAGGGAATGAGAGAGCTATTTAAAAAAAAAGATATGCCAGAAATATGAAATCATTTTTAGAAGAGTTAAAGTATTGATACATCTTCCTTTACATTGAGGAAATTTAGAGACACCAGCATAATCAGAAGGAAAAAAATATGATTCTGTGTCAGATATTCTAAAGAATAGGTAATGTGCTTTTTGTTGGTATTTTTATTAGATAACTGTTGCATTCTTTCTTGTTATTTTTCTACTGTCTCTATTTAGACTCATAGTCATGATTTATTGTTTTTTGATACTTATAAAAATACTCAGCTCAGATATCAATTTGTCAGAAAGAGAACACAGAATATACTGCCCCCTTCCAGAAAGGGTGGAATATAGAGAAGTAACTAGTGAGTAACATTTCAGTCCAAAATATGTATTGGCGGCATACTGAAGAACGAGTTTAGACTATATAACATGAAAATTAAAATTATATTCGATAAATGTTATCAAAATGCTAAAATATGTTTATACTTATTTTAAATGTTAATAGACATGGTTAACACAGATACTACCCTGTCTCTATAAAACACTTATTTGTCTATATTCTAGCAGATAGTCTTTATTGCTAAAATCTACACTGAGGTTTCACAGTAACAGTATTATAAGGAAGTTTCATAAAAAAATCTTGGGTCACACCAAAGCAAACATAGTTACTAAAGAAATATTTAGTAATACCTCATCAGTGTTCTTTCACTTAAAATTATAAATATATTATGGGATAAAGAAGTTTACATGAATCAATTCAATCCTCTCAAAGTTCTTTTGAAGTGAGAATTACTCCTTGCTTCCTGAATACTAAAAATAAAGCTCAAGTAGATTAAATGATGCACATCCAACATCACTAATACTAAAGCCACAAGGAGACTCAAATCCAGTTCTTCAGATCCATCTAAGCATCCCATCCTTTTTGATCCCAGCAGCTTTCCAAATGATTTTTTATGGACATAAATGTTTACTGAGACTTCTCATTCATAATGTATGACCTGGTTGGGCGGGTGGTTGGGGGAGACTTTTCCAGTACCATGTACCAAGTGGTGAAGTCAGGTCCATTCTGTTGTAACCCACAGCCTGTAATCTTCCCTAAACCAGGCAATGCCTCCCCTTTTCCAGCAGTCAAATTGGCATCTAAAAGACACAGTATGCACCATAGATTAGCTTTAATTGTCTGTATAGTGTTTTTTTAATGTAAAAAATCATAAATGTATAAATGATGTATCTTTGTGATTACTACACAGAATTAACAAATGTGCTATTTAGACATATTTGCTTTAAAATATAGATAGATAGATAGATTAAAACTAAGTCCTGAGGTGCCTGGGTAGCTCAGTTGGTTAAGTGTCTCCTTCGGCTCAGGTCATGATCCCAGGGTTCTGAGATTGAGCTCTGCCCTCAGTGGGGAGCCTGCTTCTCCCTCTCCCTCTGCCTGCCACTTCCCCTGCTTGTGTGTCTCTCTCTGTGTGTCAAATAAATAAATAAAATCTTTGAAAAAATATAAACAAACAAAACTAAGTCCCTATGTTTCCCCCATAATCTTATTTACTTCCCTCCCTCCACAGAGGCAATCATAGTCATGAATCAAGTTCCATCGGTTTATATTTTAATATGTGTATAGATTTCAAAATACATAAAATTGCTTTGTGTATCCGCAATTTAGGTAAATGATAGCATGTCTTATATATTGTTCTACAACTTCCCATGTCCCCCCAAAGTGGCTTCTTTGAAATCCATGCATGTAAATACACATAACATTTAAATCATTTGTTTTAATAGTAGATACAGATATATTTAAGTCATCTGTTCTAAGTCCATACTATGGATGTACTTCAATTGATAAACCCATTTCCTCCTGAGTAGAGTACTTGGATTGATTCTAGTTTTTACCACTATAAACAATGAGTCTATGAACTTTCAGATACATGTCTCTATAAAAACATGTAAGAGTTCTTTTGGAATACATACCAAGAAGTGAAATACATGGGTTATAGGTAGGACATGATCATCTTCAACTTTTCTGGATATTGTCCAATTTTCTCCAAATGATTGGATTCATTTCCAACCCCACCAGCATCACTTGTGTTTTTCTGTTTCCAAGCACCACTCCAATATTTGCAATGTTCACTTTGAATTTTTGCCAATCTGATGTATGTCTCACTCTTTTTTTGCATTAAATAAGTTGCGTGTATTTTTGGATGATGATTTTTTGGATGTTTATTTTCCATTAGGTTATTTCCTTTTCTATGAAATGCCCATTCATAACTTTGGTCCATTTTTTACTTAATTGTTAATTAATTGCTATTTTTAAAATTTTATTTATCGGTTTTTAAATATTTCAAATGCTAATCTCTCTTTTATATATTATGTTGAAAATATATTCCATTTTGCACCTTTTGAATCTTAAGAAATCCTTACATGACACAAGGGCATAAATATATTTGTCTATGGATATGTGGTGTTTTGAATTTGTGAATTTAAATGTTTTTAGACACAGTGCATTTTCTCAGGTTCACACAGACCTTGCTGGACTTTATTTTCTAAAACCTGGCCAATTTCACACATTTCCCCTGGATATATGAGGTTATAATCCTTGGATTAGATAGTCAAAGAGTAAGATTACACAACTAGATTTCTCAGACTTTGGTTGGTTCGAATTATGATTATAGCTATACAACCCCAGCCTAGGTTTCCATGGAAATGAAGCCTTAATAGAATTCATTCCAGTAGACTGACAGCTTCCGTTAAGTATTACTTAATTTTTGCAGAGATGCACTCCAGCACCTAGAAACTGAAAAATTTGGTTTATCACCTGCATCTAACAAGTTTCCCAGAGCCTTTGTTTTCTATCTTTATATGCCAAAGTAATAAATGTTGACTTGATGTATGTGACCCTCAGATGCTGGACTGGAGATTGGCAAATGCACATTTTATTCTGGCTGTGATGTTGATGCTGTGGAGTTCAGGAAAAGTACGCTCAGTGGATGTAGCAACAGAGGTAATGGAAACTAGCTTAAGGGACCATATTTTTTTTTATGAACATAAGCCATTTCTACTTATCAGAAGCAGGTGCTGCTGACAAATAGAGAGATGCCTTGATAGCACAAAATCAAGGAAATAGACTTTTTTTTTCTATTGTCTTGACCTCACTGTAGATTCAGAGAAGGCCAGTTATCTGAATGCCAAAAAATAAAATGGAAGTAATAAAGTATTAAAGTAATAAAGTAATAAAGTATTCCTTGAACAAAAAAGCATTAAGAGAAAATTCAATATCCTTTTGGCCATATTTTTAATTAAATCATTTACATTAAGATGAAGTGCTTTTGTGGGAAATTTGAAGTTGTTACATGTCAAAATTTGAGTCGCTTTGGCCAAACTTTGTGTGACTATACAAATGTTTTCTTGCTGCTATGACTAAAGTACACAGAGAAATGTTAATTTGGCTAATTTGATCTTATTAGAAAGTGTTCTCTGTACTTTGTAAATAACAAGTGAGAATCTGAAATGCACTTTGCTGAAGGAAGTTTTACATGAGATCTATGTTTTTTTTTTCCCCTTAGGATTAATTAAGAGTATCTTTAAAAAGGAACAAAACTCTATTTTGTATGTGTGGCAGTTGGAAGAATGAAAACATATTTTTTGGAGGATGCACTAAGAGATAATAAAAGATATCCTATCTTTGCCCTTTGAAAGTTTGTCTACTGCTCTCTAGAATTTCTTTCTCATGATTATAGCATCCTTCCCTTCCCCAGTTTCTATGTTGTCAAGTTTATGTAGGAGAGAGATAGACGTTGAAATTTTAAAAGGAGTCTGTGGACATTGTGCAGTCTGCATTATAAATAACAAGAGCCAGGAGAGATTTCTTATTTTCTTTCTACCAGATGAGAGTATGCTTGCAATAATTAGCTTCTTGGCAGTATTCAGGATAGAAGAGAAAAGGGGGAGACAGAGGATAGAGAAGCAGGTTATGAGGTGATTAAGAGTGTACCTACACTAAGCAGTGAAGAGGAGCTGATATAAGTCACTACTGATGGGAATCAGAAAGAGCAAGAGAGTTTTTCCAGGAAGAACTGACCAGACTTAGCGCAAATTTGGTTGGTTTAGGAAAGAGGAGTTTCAATAGCTTTGAGTCTAGGTGTCAGACTATATGTATTTCACAAGAGAGAGGTGCTGGAGCCAATGATGAAAAGGCTTGGAAAATGCCGCTCTTTCATTTTATTGGGGAAAATGAAGAACATAGAAAGAGAACGGAAGAAATAATCTAAGAAGAAAGAAAGGAAGTGAAGAAAAAGAGTCTTGCCAAGACCAAGTCTGGCACAAGGAAGAATGTGACATACAGGAGCGCAGGAAGGAGATCCCTGGAGCTAGTTTCTTCCCACAGGGGAATACTCTCACTTTCCTAGAAAAGAAGTAATATCCCCCAGACTCCACAATGACTAGAGACAGTTAATAGGAGCACTTTTTAAAATGCTGTGATCTGGATTAGGAAAGGAAAAGACACCACACTTTTATGTCTTGAATGCAGTGCAAAGTGGCAATATGTGTAACAAACAAGAAATTTTACACAGGAGGATAAAGTCATTGGGATAGTTATGACTCACTGTAGACACTCATTAACATGTGGTAATACATCACATGGAAAAAGATAGTAAGCTTCCTGAGGGCAGAGACTGGATTTTGTTCATTTTTTTACCCCTCAGGTCTAATGCAGAACCTGGTACATAGTGGGTGCTTAATGGCTTGAATCAATAAGGTGTGACTGAATGGTGAAAAGATAACAGTGTGAGGTTTGCATTTCCAAAATTCATTCAAGAAATATTCAGAAATTTACTGAGTATTAACTATGAGCAAAATACTGGCTTAAGCATCGAATAGAGTGAACAAATAAAGGACTAATTAGACATAGTTATTGCCCTCAGGTTACTCACAATCTAATATGCAATACAAATTTATTGTACCAATCTAATACAAGGGAAAATGTAATGAGTACAATGAAGAAAGATAAAGTGCTATGGGAATGATAAGGAAGGATGCAGCTGTTACTGGGAAAGAACCTAAAAGAATGATCAGTTAATATACTAAATTTTAGAGGCAGACCTGTAGTTTTTCCTTTTTTCCTGTGTGTTTGTGTGTGTTTGTGTGTGTGTGTATTGTTTTAATTGTGTTTAGACATACATCATCTCTATGCATTTTTGTCTCCATAAGTCTTTTTCTAGAGACATAAAACCATAATAAATCAAGTTTCATGACAGGCAGGTGAGCTAAAGCTAGCAAAAGCCAAATGCAGATGATTATATATATTTAAGGTTTCTTTTTCTGAACAAATGGAATCACCTTTCTTGTCCTATAGGCTTTTGATTCTGGAGTCATAGATGTACAGGCACCGCCCACAGTCAGGGAAGAGAAATCAGCTACTAATCTGGCAGCAAAACTCTTGCTTCTTGATGAACTTGTGTCTCTGGAGAATGATGTAATTGAAACAAAGAAGAAAAGGAGCTTCTCGGGTTTTGGGTCTCCCCTGGACAGACTCTCTGCTGGCTCTGTTGATCATAAAGGTAAACAGAGGTAAGTGAACTCTTGGAGGAGGAATATTTTTATTTTTTAATTCTTCCACTCTAACTTCAGAAACAGAATTCCACATGAAAAATATAACAAAAACCTTGTAGGTAAACATATTGGACAGTGTTTTAGCTAACTTGTGAGTTTAACAGTATGGTTTTGGAAATAATGGTTTAGGAAGGAAATGACTGCCACAGTATGCATTAATTCTCTTGTCATATTTTCCTGAGGAAAGTTCCATTGAATGCAAATGTAAAATAGTTATTATAAGACATTACAGCATTGGGAGATGAAGGGGGATGTGTGTATTATGGGATAAATGTTATGGCCACTTCAGTCTTCAATTTAACAGAGATAACCAGAATTCCATTTCTATTTTCACCTATGATACAAAGCTTTCCAGAATGTGTCAATGAACTCTCATATACCAAGAGGTAGTGAAGATCTCTTAGGACTTGGAGTCAGAAAACATGTGTTTAAATCAAATTTCTGATAATTTCTAGCTATATGACTTGTACAAGAATCTTACTCTCTGTGCTACTCAGCTTATTTATCTGTAAAATGGGGATAATTACTTAACCTCCATAAAACTCAAATGAGTACTTTGTAAGCTGTTACTATAATAGAATTAGAGTAATTAAATCTCCCTTTAATCATTGAGCGACTATCAGCAGTCGTTTTGATCTTGATTCATCTTCTACCTCCTCAGTCTTTGTTCCTGATGCCATACATTTCATATTAGCAATGTCACAAGAGACCACCCAATTGCCAAGGTCAGGAATCTGAGGACTTTACTAGGATTCCTTTTGCTTACTTTAAACGTTCCATTTTTCATGAAATTCTTCAAATCCTATTTGCTTTGTATCTCAAATATCTCCAGAATATCTTTTTCCATTAAGGCTTTCCTAATTCTGGCCTAAATTATCATTTTCATATTTGTTTTTTCCTCCGGTCTTTCTTCATTTCCACCTCTACCACCATCATTACCTCTTTAGCACCAATGTATCCTCTGCTCTGCTACCAGGGGGATCATTTAACACCAACATCTTTTGGTGAAACGTTCCCATTGCTTACAAGACAAAAGAAAACTCCTCAGCAAACCCTACAAAGAATTTCAACATCTGGCACCCCATTTTGTCATGCACTTGCTTCCATGTCTTTGCCCCAGTCTCACCTGCTTACTTGGAGCTCTGGGACTTGTCATGTGTGTTCATAGTCCAATGTCTCTGCTGTGCTCCAGGAATCAGCATACAGGATGTGATTTGCTAGACTTCTCTTCTTCTTCTTCTTCTTTTTTTTAACTAACACATAATGTATTATTTGTTTCAGGGGTACTGGTCTGTGATTCATCACTCTAACACAATTCACAGTGCTCACCATAGCACATACCCTCCCCAATGTCCATCACCCAGCCACCTCATCCCTCCCACCCCCCTCCATTCCAGCAAACCTCAGTTTGTTTCCTGAGATTAAGAGTCTCTTATGGTTTGTCTCCCTCTCTGGTTTCATCTTGTTTCATCTTTCTCTCCCTTCCCCTATGATCTTCTGTATGTTTCTCAAATTTCTCGTATCAGTGAGATCATATGATAATTGTCTTTCTCTGATTGACTTATTAGCATAATACCCTCTAGTTCCAGCCACGTCATTGCAAATGGCAAGATTTCATTTTTTGATGGCTGCATAATATTTCATTGTATACACACACACACACACACACACACACATATATATATATACCACATCTTCTTTATCCGTTCATCTGTTGATGGACATCCAGGCTCTTTCCATAATTTGGCTATTGTGGACATTGCTGCTATAAACATTGGGGTGCACAGGCCCCTTTGGATCACTACATTTGTATCTTTGGGGTAAATACCCAGTAGTGCAATTGCTGGGTCATACGGTAGCTCTATTTTCAACTTTTTGAGGAACCTCCATACTGTTTTCCAGAGTGGCTGCACCAGCTTCCATTCCCACCAACAGTGTGGGAGGGTTCCCCTTTCTCTGCATCCTCGTCAACATCTGTCATTTCCTGACTTAATTTTAGCCATTCTGACGGTGTGAGGTGCTATCTCATTGAGGTTTTGATTTGGATTTCCCTGATGCTGAGTAATGTTGAGTACTTTTTCACTCTTGGCCATTTGCATGTCTTCTTTGCAAAAATGTCTGTTCATGACTTCTGCCCATTTCTTGATTGGATTATTTGTTCTTTGGGTGTTGATTTTGATAAGTTCTTTATAGATTTTGGATACTAGCCCTTTATCTGATATGTCATTTGCAAATATCTTCTCCCATTCTGTCGATTGTTTTTTGGTTTTGTGGACTGTTTCTTTTGCTGTGCAAAAGCTTTTTATCTTGATGAAGTCCCAATGTTCATTTTTGCCCTTGCTTCCCTTGCCTTTGGTGCTGTTTCTAGGAAGACGTTGCTGCGGCTGAGCTCAAAGAGGTTGCTGCCTGTATTCTCCTAAGGATTTTGATGGATTCCAGTCTCACATTTAGATCTTTCAACAATTTTGAGTCTATTTTTGTGTGTGGTGTAAGGAAATGGTCCAGTTTCATTCTTCTGCATGTGGCTATCCAATTTTCCCAACACCATTTGCTGAAGAGACTTTTTGCCATTGGACATTCTTTCCTGCTTTGTCAAAGACTAGTTGACCGTAGAGTTGAGGGTCCATTTCTGGGCTCTATATTCTGCTCCATTGATCTATGTGTCCGTTTTTGTGCCAGTACCAGATCATACGATAAAAGAATAAAAGAAAACAACTATCTTGATGATGACAGCTTTGTAATAGAGCTGGAAGTCCGGAATTGTGATACCACCAGCTTTGTTTTTCTTTTTCAACATTCCTCTGGCTATTCAAGGTCTTTTCTGGTTCCATACAAATTTTAGGATTATTTGTTCCATTTCTTTGAAAGAAGTTGACAGTATTTTGATAGAGATTGCATTAAATTTGTAGATTGCTCTAGGTAGCATTGACATCTTCACAATATTTGTTCTTCCAATCCATGAGCATGGAATGTTTTTCCATTTCTTTGTGTCTTTCTCAATTGCTTTCATAGTTTTCTGAGTACATATTTTTTTGCTTCTTTGGTTAGATTTATTCCTAGGTATCTTATGGTTTTGGGTGCAATTGTAAATGGGATCGACTCCTTAATTTCTCTTTGTCTGCCTTGTTGTTGGTGTATAGAAATGCAACAGATTTCCGTGCACTGATTTTATATTCTGCTACTTTACTGAATTCCTGTATGAGTTCTAGCAGTTTTAGGGTGGAGTCTTTTGGGTTTTCCACATAAGGTATCATATCATCAGCAAAAAGTGAGTTTCACTTCTTCTTTGCTGATTTGGATGCCTTTTATTTCTTTTTGTTGTCTGACTGCTGAGGCTAGGACTTCTAGTACTAAGTTGAATAGCAGTGATGAGAGTGGACATCCCTGCCATATTCCTGACCTTAAGGGAAAAGCTCTCAGTTTTTCCCCATTGAGAATGATATTCGCTGTAGGTTCTTCATAGATGGCTTTTATGATATTGAGGTATGTACCCTCTATCCCTATACTCTGAAGAGTTTTGATCAAGAAAGATGCTGTACTTTGTCAAATGCTTTTTCTGCATCTATTGAGAGGATCATATGGTTCTTGTTCTTTCTTTTATTAATGTATTGTATCACATTGATTTGTGGATCTTGAACCAACCTTGCAGCCCAGGAATAAATCCTACTTGGTCTTGGTGAATAATCCTTTTAATGTACTGTTGGATCCTATTGGCTAGTATTTTGGTGAGAATTTTTGCACCCACGTTCATCATAGACCTCTCTTCTGAGAGTCTCCAAGCTACATGAAGAAATAAAATCACCACTTGAAGACTATAATTTATCACACCTGTACTTGAAAAATAATCCCTCACCTATATTTTGAAATTCAGACTCTATTTTAATTAAACACATACAAATTATTTCCATTTATTATTCTAGGCATTGTGTTGGGCTCTGGTGGAAAACTGGAGGAATATATAGTCTCTTTCCCTCAAAGAAATCACATACTAATAAGAAATATGAAAATATTGACAATGAATTACAATGCAAAGCAAGAAGAGATATGTTTATAGAAGCAATTTATAAAGAAGGATTTGGAATTCCAAGGAATCAGTGGAACTTTAAAGGAGAAAATATTGTGCCTTCTAATAAATGTGATTTCTTTGATTCCTGGGTCTTGCAACATAGTCTATTCACTAATTGATAAATCAATTTATAGATGTTACATGTAAATATTTAAATATAAATTTATAATAACATAGATACATAGCATATATACCAAATACATATGGCATCAATATCATAAATACATATAATCTATATTGCGGTTTCATCCTAACAATTTCTTCAGGAAGTATCATAAGAGGAGACCATAATTGGGAGATATAATCTATCTCACATAGCCCAGCTTTCAAGAAAAAAAGGGAGATTGGCAAGCATTTAATACCCATTTGAAAAGATTTTCGCATATGAAGGCTACAAATAAGCTATTATAAACATTTAAAAAATTAGGGAATATTGTTCCCCTGAACACTTCTTGAGAAAGCTGCTAGATGAGTTTCTTTGGATGACTGAAATGACTGGAGAGATATCATCACAAGAAGTGGTGTGAGCATAACTGTGGAATTAAAGTGAAATGATGCTTGCAAGGAAATAAGTGCTATGTGTTATGATTATACAGATCCGTCTGACAACATAGACCCAACAAATATCTAACTGTTCAGGAACAGTAGTGAGGACATTTACAGTTTAGAATGAGTTTTGATTGTTTCATGGCTGCTAACTGAAAATCAGGGTTCTCACTACAAATAGTTGCTTGGAGACATGCAGAAGAAGGGAAAAAAAACTACAAACTAAATTTAATGAATATTTTACTAAAGAATAAAAGAAAACAACTGAAAAGAGCAAAGATGAAGATTTTCATATAAAAATATTACTATAAAAAATGTAAGAAAAAATTAAAACTTTCCTATAAAA